GCACAGGAGCCAGGAAGTCAGGATGCTCATTCTGCCCCACTTGAGATCTGTACTACCTCTATCATAGCACCTTCTGCGTCGGGCTTCCTAATGTCTAATCATCCTTTATCTTCTAGGTAGATACATTTGTTAGAAACAGCCATGTTTCTAGAGGCTTCTTTGCAAAAGTACTTATTACTCTGCTGAGTACTTTCAGATACTGAATAAGAGCCTTGCTTCTCTCGCTCCAGAAGCCATGCCGTGGTGAGGTCTGGTTACCTGATGCCTCTGCTGTTTTCCCATTTCTTATGAGAATAATGAGTCCTGCTGAGTCAATTTTAGCAGTGTAGTATACACTTTATAGAATGCTGTGGTGCTTCCGTCTTGGGCTTGGCTGTCTTTAGTTCCTGTAGTTGTAAACAGATTGTATAGCTGGGATCAGGTACTGCTGGAATGGAGTTGTCTGTCAGGCTGGTTGGTCTAGATCCGGTTCTCAACCTTCCTAATGCCTCCACCCTTTAATACAATTCCTCATGTTTTGACCCCAACCATAAAACTACTTTTGTTGTTACTTCATAATTGTAGATTTTCTACTGTTATGAATCATAATGTCAATGTCTGATATGCAGGATATCTAATAATGCAACCCCTGTGAAAGGGTCTTTTGACCCCCAAAAGGTCATGACACACATGTTGAGAACCACAGGTCTAGATCTGGTTAGGGCTATGGAGCATCTAAAGCCTATAAACAAAAATAGAACACAGTTTGCTTGCAGCACACATCACTTCTGGAACATGAAACCAATGGAAATGAGCATTTGGATTGCTGTATAAGAGTAGTCCTAGACCTTCCTGCTCTTCCTCTGAAGAGTAGTTGCCAAGTCAAATGATTAGTTAGAGTGGCTGTTCTTGTAACAGGGTCAGGCAGCAGGGCTCTGGGCCACCATCCTCTTTTCTGTTTGTTTCTGGCCTTTGGGAAGCTGAAAAATGAATTAGGGTGTGTGTATGTGTGTACATCTATGCAAATATGCACACATTTGTTTATAGTTCAGGAAATTGCCTTTGCAGTCTCTTCCCAGACATGGGATTATTGAAGCCTGATTTGAGAAGCCTCCATGGTAAAGTAGGAAACACATCCTTACTCAAGACTCTGAACTAGTTCTTGGAGTGTGCTTGAACACAAAGAACCAATTCTGGTGAGTGAAGAATAGAGGAAGGTCTGGCTCACTGGCTGCTGGGCCTCACAGGGTGTCTTGAGAATAGAAGATGAAAACACCTTGGCTAAATAATAACATGTGATGTGTGCTAGGAATTGGGTTTTGCTTTCAGGTCTTTTGGCCACAAGCTTGCATATGACTGCCTCTCCCAGACTGATGGGGGAGGAGTGTAAATTGCTCACTTCCTTTGTGGTATCTTAAGCAATGCCAATGAATGTCACTAAACCAGAAACAAGGCTGGGCAGTGAGGGAAATGGCCCCCTGGGCGAAGCGTCAGTCTGTCCCTCCCCTCCTGTGCGGTGCCTTCAGGTACATGTTTGGATGCCTGGACTTTGTTTACTTGAGCCTTGGAGTAGAGAAAATAACCTGGGCTGTTGACCACTTTGGCTCGATGGTGCCTCCTGAGTGTTCCATGTGAGAGAGAAACATCTCTATTCTCTACAACTCAAGTTCCAGTAGGGGAGGGCTTGTTTCTGGAAACGGCTTACCTTGAACTTCTTCTTATCTCACAGTATAGAGCGTGCTAGACACTGCTGCATCCCTGTGTGTATGGAGGCCCTTGTGAGTGGCTCACTTTCCTCAAGTGTGTGTTGGACTTGGGATTTTGGAGTTTGGTGCTGGTAGACCAGAAGCAAAGCTGGCCTGAGGCATTTTGGAGAGACTAGGCAGGACTGAGGCACTCCAGCTGACAGCACCAAAAACCCACACTTAGGGCTCTTGGAGATGTCATTCCCAACCTAGCTCAGGAATTCACAGGCTGGCCTTGAATTCCTGATCCTCCTGCCTCCACCTCTGAATGCTGGGATTTCAGGTGTGAGGCACTACACTCACTTGAGTCATGCTGAGTTTCAGAACTATAACTGTCTACTCGGGCAGCCACTGTTTCAGTTACCTATACTGTGTCGCTCGCAAGAGACCGATCCCTTGGAAACCCACCATGTTGAAGGACAAGCTCAGTACTTAAAGCACCAACGTCATCTTACCACTTAGCAGAGTGGGGATGGAAAGAAGTGGAGAAATCTCAGAGGCAGCTGAATGGATGATTACCAACGAGAAACCTTTACAAAGAAACTGGCGTTGCCACACACTAAAAATCACTCAAATGGCAGCAGTGTTATATGCAGAGATGAGGAGCTTTGGGGTAATGTGCCAGCTTTGAAAGAGGCTAAGTGCACAGAAGTGGGCTTCCAGAATTGGTGCATCTCAGTTCTCTCCCAAAAGCCATTAGGGTTTCCAAGGCTTTCAAATACCCAGTGGCATCTGAGCTCCCATCCAGTACTAGCCTACTCTGTGAATTTTATTTTTCCTAAACCTCCCAAACTTGAAACATCAGAACAAAAGTCATCTCCCTTGCAGAGTCTCAAGTCGGGTGACTGTAGGGAGCCATCCTGGGATGACATCCTGAGTGGGTGTGCTTCTGTGGTTGGAATGTACACTTGGGATGTTTCTAGGATTGGGAGGTGAGCGGATGAAGCATATCAACTGGGAAATTCTGCTGTAAGGACAGACTCCAAGGAAGAAGTCCATACTGTCCCCTGTTCCCATATTTGTCTCTATGTGTGAGAAAGAAGAAATCCTTGAGGTTGGCTTGGATCTTACGGTAAACAGAAAGTCTTAGAACAGGTTTGCTATAGGTCTAGTGAAAGGCTGGCTGGACATGGTGTACAGAACTGTAATTCTAGCACTCAGGAGGCTGAGCCTACAGGAAGATTGCAAGTTCAGAGCCATCTCCGGCTGCGAGAAAAAATGGTAGTCTTGATTTAATTGGTCATTTCTCTTCAGTAGCCTCTGTGGTCACACCCAGGCATTCAAATGCCTACCTTCCTTCCTGTTTAATAAACTCTACCCCCCCATCCCAGTCACATGTAGAGAGAGGATCAGGGGCCTGGGGAAAATAACCATTTCCTCTTTGGGGTGACGGATATGGATGATGGAGTTTTTTCTCTTTTTTGGTGGTGCAATGAATGAGTGAATGAACTTCCTTTGCTGTTAACCCCACCCATGTAATTCCAATGTGTTCCTGGTTCATCCCCTATCATTTATGTTCCTGTGTATACTTGCGTACTTGCATGTGTGTACACAGCATGAGAAGGCTAGAGGGTAATTCTTGGGTGTTGTTTCTCAGGTGCCAAACACGTGTTTTAAGGTCAGGGCTCTCATTGGCATAGAGCTCACCTGTCTTTGCCCTCTGCTCCCAGCACCATGATTACAAATTCTATCATGCCCCGTTTCTTTTTGTTGTTAGTATGTTTGGTTGGTTGGTTGGTTTTTCCAGACAGGGTTTCTCTGTGTAGCCCTGGTTGTCCTGGAACTCACTCTACAGGCTGGCCTCAGACTCATAGAGATCTGCCTGTCTCTGGCTTCCCAAGTGCTGGGACCAAAGGTGTGTGTCACCACCATTATATATAAATTCTGGGAGTCAAACTAAGGTCTTCATGCTTACATGGCAAGTACTTTTCTGACTGAGCTATCTTCTGTCCCCTTAGCAATCTTATTTCCAGTGTTTCCCCTTAGATTTCATTCTGATTAAGGGACTTATCAAAAATTACACTTATTAACTGGGCATAGAGGTGCTTGCACTCAAGAGGGGATCTCTGAGTTCAAGGTCAGATTGGTCTACAAAGTGAGTTCCAGGACAGCCAAGGCTACACAGAGAAACCCTGTCTTGAAAAACGGGGTGTGTGTACACGTGTGACTTACCACATGTGAGTGATCAGAGGATAAGTTGAGAATCACGTCTCTTCTTCCACCAGGTGGGTCTTGGGGATTGCATCAGGTTTGGCAGCAAGCACTCTACCCTGAGCCATCTCACTGGAACAGCATCATTTTTATTTTATTTTTTGAGATAGAGCTTCGACATGATGTTTAATCTGAATTCCTGGGCTCAAGCATCAGGCTTTTAGGCTTGAGACTACAGATAAATAGCACCATGCTTAGCTTCTGATGTTGCTAGACATAACAGGGTCCTCTGTCATTGGCAAGGGTTTCCCCCACAGATTGGAGCCATTCTGTCTTTCTGGAACTCTATCCTGAAATGGGACAAAGCTTTTATACAAGAGGATTGACCTGAGACCAAATTGCAATCAGGAGGACTGAATTGGAGAGGGTGACTCCTTTAAAAAAATCTTTTAGCTTTAGTGTGTGTGTGTGTGTGTGTGTGTGTGTGTGTGTTGGTACACTCATGTCATGATGTGAATGTAGAGGTCAAAGGACAACTTGGAAACTTGGTCCTAGGGATTAAACTCAAGTTGTCAGGTTTGGCAACAAGTGCCTTAACCCACTAAGCCATATCATCAGCTCAGACGGTGACCTCTTTAGGCTGGCGTGTGTCAGGAACCTAAGGAGAAGAAGGCACCTGACCCCACTCCTTCCCACCCCAAATGCATGCAGTGCCTTCCCCATCAGGATATTTCTGTTTGTATTGCCATTCTTAGCCAGGCCCCAAGGTCTTTTCCCACCTGAGGATGGACCTGGGCAGAGAGTGCTCTCTGCTATTCTGACATCCTGCCCTCTATCCCATACGGCCAAGAAAGCTACTCGTTACTGCTCACTTGTTTATTGAGCGCCACTGTTTGCTGGGCATGGGATATAGAGTGTGAAGCTTATTCTGTAATACATAGAGCCTGGGTGCAGGGGAGAGCTAGGGCGCTCCCACCTGCGAGGCAGCGCTGCTCTGTGTGCCATTGCTACCTGATGCCAAGAGTCCCCAAAGTAATGCAGGTTCTTTGCATGAATGCCTGAGCTGAGCCCGAGCCGAGGACAGAAGACACCAGACCACCGTTGGCCTGCAGCTCTTCATCTGTGATGCTCAGGGAAAGATGGCCATGGCATCCTTTGGGGCTCACTCAGAACCCTGGCCATCCTCTTCTGTGCCCAGGAAAAGAGCTATGTGTTGCTGGTGATTGAGAGAGTCTGGTCTCCCTCTTTGACTCTGAAGGTCTTCTCTGGTCACTGCTCCGGGCCTTGCACCCTGGTGGTGTGTCTCCTGTCTGCAGGTTCCTAGAGCAGTGAAATTACGGGTTTATCTGCCACATCTGCAGCCAGCCCTCGGTCATCCTCCATAGAGAAGGGAATGGAACTCTAAAGTCCAAAAGATTTTTCTGGGACATGGAATGGAATTGTCACTGACCAGGAAACTGGTTTTGTTACTAGCTCACTGTGTGGCTTAGGGCAAATTACTTTCTGTCCCTAGAAAATGATGTCTCTAAGAAACCAGCTTACCCTATGCATATAGAACATTCATTTCAACTTAATAGAGTTCCAGATATCCTCTGAAAGACCCTGAGAACATCTCAGAGCCAGAGAGGCAGTTCATTCCTGCCTTTCTTCCCAGTAGCCGATGCTCCACCAAGGAAGAAAGAGGACCCCGAAATAAGTCAGGTACCACACTGAAATCACTTGGAGCTCAGTGTGACCTGCATCTGGTCACTGTTGGATCCGCTGCCCTTGTGATGGCTCAGTGGCTCTCTGCACCTCCCCCAGACTGAGTCATTTATTTTGATGCCTGGCTTTCAGGGACCACTTGAGGGTACAGTTCCTGTTTGGGGGCACAGGGTATCACTTCTCTCATGTGGCTGCTCACTTAATGGCAGTTGTTGACCAAGAATTTCTAAAGACTAAATTCCTGACCTAGGGCTCAACAAGTAGGACTTCACAGACAGAAGATAGGGGATGTCTGCAGAACATCACATCCTATGGCTCCACAGAACCTTAGAGGGCATGGGCTGGGGAAGATACAGCTTCAAGATCATCAGGACTGGCAAAATGGCTCAGAAGATATCTGTCACTATGCAGCCACTCGAGTTGGGTCTCTGGCACATGATGAAAGTAGAAAAACTCTTCCAAGGTGACCTCTGACCTGTACACACGTGCTGTGGCACTCACAAAGACCAGCAGAGGCCTCCCATCCCTTGTACCACAGCTCCCACCTCCCATGGACCCTTCTGCAGGATAGAATGATGTGGGAGCCTATTCTATCTGATGGCAACAGGGTGCCTGGCTGTTTTCCCATGATGCCCTTGTCACCCTTTAGATGCCTTCTCCTACCTTCTATTGACAGACCTCTCTCACCAAGGAGTTCCTGCATTATTCGTCCCAGCTGATACCCTGGTGAGGGAGAAAGAAGAGGTAGAGAAAAAAGGAATAGTAAAGGAGGGTTCCCTAAGGACAGGCAGAGTAGAGCTGGGCCTTCCAAATGCCACCATCCTCACTTGTGGGAGGTGAAGCAATGCCCTGGATCCCTTCATTCATCCATGGCTTTACTCATGAAACCCTCTTGCTAGTTCTTTCACCAATATTCCCATGTTCAGAATCTAGACTGAGTATTAAGACTGTAGAGTGACCAAAGCCCTGGGTCTTGCTGTGCAGAGTTGCCAGGTTGGGAACGACAACCATGTGACAACACAGGACTGCACAATGCAGTGTGCCTAGGAGACCATCATTCCCAGGCCATGGAGACAAGCAGCCTGCTCAGGGGAGGGGCAGTCCCACATTAGCTGCTAAGGATGGAGCTGTGAAATCAGTAACCAGCCCCAGAAGGCATGAAGGGGCTCGGCATGTTTCACACTGCATTCAGCAGTTGTGGGTACAAGCTGGTGTTTTCTGTGTTGTTTCAATTCATTTGAGATAGGCTCTTGCTTTGTAGTTCAGGCTGGCCTATACTTTGTAATCCCTCTGCCTCAGCATCCCAAGTGCTGAGATTACAGGTGTGAGCCATCACACCCAACCCCTTTTGTGAGTCCCTTTCTGCTGAAGGGCTTAAGCAGAATAAAGCCTACCTGGATTTGCAGTTCTAACATCCTCAAGGAGCAAGGGGTTGAATCGCTGAGCTCTTCCTAGTTGATCCTTTGCTTACCTGGTAATTCTGAAGCTCTGGCCTGGTCTCCTACCCCTACAGGCACTCCCTAGGCATGCATATCCCACCCTCTAGGGAAATAACCAGAAAATCCATCTTCTGGTCAAGTCACAGCAGTCCTTAATGGTACAGCAGTGCCAGCCAGGCATGCCCCCAGCCAGAGCGTCACTGCTAATTCCAGGGTGGCTAATGGCCAGCACAATGTGCCCCACCCCAGGGAGCATGCTGAGGGTAGACCAGGGCAGCACTCACCCATTCTTTCCTTTGGCTGGTTCGGACGTATTCCTGGGAGGAAAAAGGGGATGAAATTTGTACTGCTTCCCGGAGGCTTAGTGAGAGTGTGAGGGGCTCTTACGGGAACTCTATCCCCATTGTCCTTGCATGACAGTGGGAATGTTCCCATAGGAGACAGTAGAGCATGCATGGATTGGCATCACTGGGACTTGGCACCAGCCAGGAGGCATCCTTGGGAAAAGTACTTAATATCAGGACCTCAGTTACCTACTGGGCTTATGGGGGTGTTGTTGCCATAGAGGTCTGGTGAGGTTCTATTGTGCTGAAGGGAAAAAATGTTTTTGAAACAGCCTCACCATGTAGTCTAGGCTGGCCTGGAACTTGCAGTGAGCATCCTGTTCTGCCTCCTGAGTGCTAGGATTACTGGCATGTGTCACCCAGCCAGCTTAAGCATTTTGTTTGTGTTGCTTGTGCTGGGAATTAAACCTAAGGGCTTAGAAATGGCAAGCACGCCCCTTTTACCATTGAGATCCATGCCAAGCTCAGTGCTTCATCATTTTTAATGTCGTCACAAGTTTTGTTTGTTTTTAGTGTGTGTGTTTGTACAGAAATGCAAGTCAGAGGCAAACATTAATTGTCTTCCTAAATCAATGTTCACTCTTTTTTTTTTTTTTTTTTTTTTTTTTTTTGAGGCAGGGCCTCTTGCTGAGCCTGATGCTTACTAATTTGGTTTGACTGGCTGGCCAGCAAGTCTCTAATATCACCCTGTCTTTACCTCCCCAGTGCTGGGATTACAGGCATGCTGCCTAGCTTTTCATGTGGGTATTGAGTCTTAAATTCAGGGTCTCATACTTGTGTAGCAAGAACTTCACTAATTGAGCCAATTCCCTGATTATGCCCCCCACTCCTTTTGAGACAGGGTCTCCTCTAGCATAGGCTGGCCTCAAATTCACTATGTAGCCAAAAAAATTACCTTGGACTTCTAATCATTTTGTATGCACCTACCAAGTGCTTGGTTTACAGTCATATGTCACCATGTCCCAATTATGTTCCATATTTTGGCCTTTCCCCCACTGGTGGTCCTACGTTTTGCAAATCCTTGCTGTTATGAACAACTTGGTAATGCACCCTGTAGTACAAACATCTCAGGGCTCATGTGACATTCTCATACAAACTTAAAATTCTCTGATGTGAAACTATTGGTCAAAAGTATACACCTGGTGTTGGTGGCGCACGCCTTTAGTCCCAGCGCTCAGGAGGCTGAGGCAGGTGGATCTCTGAGTTGAAGGCCAGCTTGGTCTACACAGTGAGTTTCAGGAAAGCCAAGGCTACAGAGAAACCCTGTCTGAAACAACAACAACAACAAAAAGTGCACATATTTCCTACTTTGATGCAGCCAATGTGCTCCAAATGGACAGCAAAAGCACCTGAGCATGACCACTCAGGACATCACTGAAGAAAAAAAGTAAGCTGAAAGAAACTGAGCTCTGTCTAGTATGACTTATGTTTGTCTCCTGGGACAGCTTTCTTGTATCCAGTACCCTTGGGCACACAGTAACTGTTCTTGACTGCCCTGAACTGGATGGAAAGCTTGCCTAGCTCATATCTAGATGCTGCTGTCCATTTCACAACACTTCCCAACAGCCAGGTCTGGAGCCAGGGTGTAAAGCCTCAGTCTCACTCCTCGTGTGCTGGACATTGCCATTGTCACTCTCCAAAACATCCTGTTTAGATTATGACTGATAGGGACAGTGTCCTTCACCATCCCATGGGCATGTTGCAGAAGCCAGTCAGAACTATGCCCACTGGCTTTGGCACTCACCCTCTACCCGCTTCCCCATCAGACCATAGAACTGGCGAGTTCTGCTTCTCTTTGTCTCCTGAAGCTGGAGTTCAATGCTGGCAACAGGGATTCCCTGGAGAAGCAGAGTTAGCATTAGAGTGTGGCGCTGACAAGGAGATGGATGGGGAGCCACAACCATCTCAACTGCCCGGCACTAGGCTCTTTTGCATATTTACCCCAAACATTGTTTTGGGTTTTGTTTTTTAATATGTATTTATTTTGTATACTGTGTTCTGCCTGCATGCCAGAAGAGGGCACCAGATCTCATTACAGATGGTTGTGAGCCACCATGTGGTTGCTGGGAATTGAACTCAGGTCCTCTGGAAGAGCAGCCAGTACTCCTAACCTCTGAGCCATCTCTCCAGCCCCCTCAAACATTATATTGATGATGATATAAAATTTCACCTGCTGTGTTCCTGGTACTGTCCTAGGCATTTTCATTTGGTAACTCACCTCATGAAAATAGCCCATTATTATTGCTGTCAGTATTTTACAGATGAAGATATACAGGTACATAGAGATGAAATAATATGTTCAAAAAGAAGTGGAGTCAGAACTTGAACCTAAGCCATCTGGATCAAAGGGCAGGCTCTCAAACAGTCAGAGTTTCAGCATAAATATAACTACCATTAAGACTGGAGTTGGGCATGGTGGCATATGATGGTAACCCTAGCACTTGAGTGGCTGAGGCAAGAGCATTGTCTGAGCTACATAGCAAAAACACTACCACCACCACACACAAAGGCAGAAACTGGAGGTTATACTGGTCTATATGTAGTTCCAGGTCAGCTAGGTATACATAGTAAGACTGTTTTAAAAATCCGTGTGGCTGGGAGGTGGAGGGGGGCAGGGGGGGGAGGTGCATACACCTTTCATGCCAGCACTCAGGAGGCAGGAGCAGGTGGATCTCTTGAGTTGGAGGCCAGCCTGATCTGCAGAACTAATTTGAGGACAGCCAGGGCTACACAGAGAGATCCTGTCTTGAAAAGGGGTGGGGCATGTGACCCCTGTTCATTTTACGTATGTGGAAACTGAGGGAGCTAGTAACCTTAATTGGGGTAACACAGGAGATGCTGAAGCAGGATTCAAAGGTCTTGAGAAATACCAGCCAGAAGTGGCTGCCACTTAACATTGCAGGGCAACCAGGGCTAAATGACTGTTCTCTCCTCTATTGTCCCAGACTTAACCTCCCTAGAGCTGGGCAGCCTGGAAGTTCTACATGGGGTCTGGATGGAGCTATTGACCCAGAAAAAGCCATTTTAATCCTCTAGCCTAGCCCGATTAGCAAACATTCCAATAGCTAGCTATAGACCTAAGTTCTCTCTTCCCACTCTGTCTATGACCTTGAATCTGGGGGAGTCCCTATGACCATCTCTGAACAGAGACAGGTAGGAACCACCTTTACATCAAGGCTGGGAACTGGGGACAGCTCAGACTCAGCTGGTGTAGGATCTCAGGACTCCAGGGACCCAGCTGGGAGTCAGGGAAGCCCCATGGGCTGTTTGGGGCTTGACACACCAGGTTTTCACGATAGATTGTTTTCTGAGTCTTGGCCTAATTTAGCCTCCCAATCTGTCTCCTCCCTGAGCTGTAAGTGGCTGGGGCAGCTGTCGCCAGCTGGAGTCGCCCAGCCTAGCCAGAAACCAGAGAAAAGTCTCTTTGGAGATTTAGGCCCATCTTTGAAAAGCTTGCAAAAACCACTTTGCCTTCATAAAGGGCATCCTTCAAGCATGAACTGGGAAGAGTGGTCTTTTACGAATGAAATAGAGCAGACCTTTCTATCCACCAGGTTTCTGCCAGGGGCGTGGGGAATGTTAGGGGGACTATCCTATTTTACCCAGGAAGCCCTGGGCACCCTCGGAACTGGAGCAATGAGATCATCCTATTGGTAATGACACCTAGCAACCGCAGTGAGTCTGTCAGGACTTCTGGCCATCTAGCCTAGCCTAGCCTGGCAGAGAGGCGCTAAAGGAGAGAGGAGGGGACAAGATTCGCTCCTGCACTATGAGCTATTGTCTGCAGGTGGAAACCAGAACTGCGAATGCCATGTGGAATTGATGACGCTTCCATGTGGCCTCGCCCCATGTTCTCTCTGATCCAACAGGACTTTTCACACATTGCATGTCTGTCACTGACTCAAAACAGAAGAAAAAAAAGTCGCAGCTGCAGAATGAGCTAGGGTCACTTTCTGTCTTGCAGGGGAGAAAACTGAGGTTGAGAGTAGCAGGATTCAGTAGAGAAGCTGAGACCTGAACCCAGGTCTCCCAGGCCTGCTGTCATCTACTGCCCATGTTTCCCTAGTCAAACTAGAGAGGACCCCTTAGCAGAGCTGTCTCTGCATGGTTTTTCCTGGGGTCCCATTTCAAATCCTCTTTCTTCCTAGGCTGACCCTGAACTCCCTATGGAGTCAAGAATGACCCTGAACTTCTGATCCTCCTGCCTCAACCTCCTGAGTGCTGGGATGACAGGCAGTTTTATGTGGTGTTGGGGATTGAACCTGGAGCTCCATGTATACTAAACAAGCCCTTTAGCAACTGAGCCACATCCCTAGACCCCCAAGCATCTAGGGACCTCAGCAATGTAAGCAGAGTGTCTCTTCCCGGGACTGCTGGGAGGAGACAGGCTCCAGCTACTCTCCTGGTTTCATGGTCAGAGATTGGGAGCTCCAAGGTCAGGGTGTCCACCTCAGCCAGAGGTATTGGATCTCAGAGCAGGTTGGGGCTCCAGTGACAGTACCAGGGACTTTAGCAGATACTGCCATAGTCAAACACTAGTTCTTGTCAGGAGTGTTTCTCTGTGTGAGACAAAATAGTGCTCCTGTTCCAGTTGGCCCCCCCAAAAAGAAATTCCCTGACGCTAAGATACAGAGTCAGAACCTAGCTAGGGTGGAAACTGTACTCTTGAAGCAATACATCTTAGACAAACTCCTTGCCCTCTGTGCCTCAGTTTTCCCATCTGTGAAATGGGGAAAACAATGGTAGTTTCCCCGTGAAGTTGAAACAAGTTACTGTTTATGATACAGACATACAGTACAAGGATTATAGTAGGTGTTAACTAAATGTTTCTATACACACAGCATACAATTACTGCTCTCACATGTATAAGCCAAATGTACCTCTGGTGGCTAGACAGATCAGGGCTTATGGCCTTGACCCTCCCCATTCAGGGGAGTTGACCTGCCTGTCTTTCAGGGTTAGGGGTACACTCATGTTATCCAGGCAGCCTCAGAAGGGATCTCCCAGCCCTCCACCATGGGCCATCATCTCAGAAAGGTACCTTCAGGTTCACGGTCACCCAGGACTCTGCTTCTGTGCCGAGTGTCAGTTCCTCTCTGTCCCCTGTTGTAGTGCACACTGATGGCCCAAGCAGGAGAAACAGGGCAAGGAGGGGCAGCATGGTGAGCAAGTACTGCTCTGTCTGGGAAGTCCGGGCAGCCCCTCTCAGCCTGATGCCACCTCCTTCAGCAGTCTCCACTGGGCCACCCCAGTGTGGGTGGGAAATCCCTCCTTGTTCTCCAGGCCTTCCAGCTCCTCGGCTTCCTTCCTGTGGCTAATCCCATCTTTGAGCTACTTCACTAACAGTCAGTCGTTCTCTCTGGCTGATTGACCAATACCATCAAGAGCCTAGACCTCCCCATAGCCACCCCCAACATTTGATCCCAAAGCTTAACACTGATGCAATACCAGCCTTACCTTTGGCTGAGTTCCCTCCCGTGACAGGTGCACAATGGCATGGTATAAGGGGCCTGGAGATTACAGCTTGCCAGGAACAACCCCCAGGGGAGTATCTCTATTGTGAGAACTGGGAAGGGAGCTATATGGTGCCAGTATGTCACTGCTGATCAACCCTCCCTCCATCTCTATTCTTTCTGCACTCTCCCCATCACAGCTCCTATGTGTACTTAGAACACACTGCTTGCTCGGGGAGGCGTCAGTAAAGAAGTGAGGCTCCTTACAAGTGAGAACTGAGATTTGCCAGAAAATAGCCTCAGACACCAAATGTCAGTCATTGACCCTCAGTGATTTTTTATGATTGCCAAAATGACATTCTAACACTGAACCACACTTATCCCCTCTGCTTGTAGGCCCTGTGCCTTCTTCCTACAAACTCCCTGTCCCTCTTTCTACAGACTCCAAGTTCCTGAGCATGCTCAGCCCCTGTCTGTTCAGATCCTCCCTCTCTCTGTCAGCCTAGTACAAGGGCCCTGTGCTCAGAGACCCGGGGTCCACTTGTAGCATCATTGTTGAGTATTGTGACCTCTGGCTATTACTTAACCCCTCTAAACCTTAGGACCCTCCTGGGTTAACAAAAGGCTGAGGATACAATGAGATAATGCACGCAGAGCATTCAGCACAGTGTGGAATGGTAAATATTTAATGTCTGTTAACTACTATTATTGTTGCGTTTGTTTGTTTGTTTGTTTGTTTGTTTATTTATTTATTTATTTTGAGATGAGTTTCTCTGTGTAGCCCTGGCTGTTCCAGAACTCCCTCTGTAGATCAGGCTGGCCTTGAAATCAGAGATCCACCTGCTTCTGCCTCCTGAGTGTTAAAGGCATGTGCCTCCATGACCTGTTAACTATTATATTACTATTATTGGGACTGAATGGGAAGATGACGAAGAAAGACACTGGTGGGCTGCAATGGGAATTGTTTTAGAATGCCAGCACATGCTAAAATGTAGATTTCCTGATTCAGGAAATCACCCCAGGGGCAAGATACCCAATACCTCTACCCTCTTGTTTGGGGTTTTCCTCACAGGAACCACTTTTCACTTCTTCATTTTACAGATGTGGAAACAGTCAGGTCAGGCTTGATCTAAAGGAGCAGCCTAGATACCAGTGCCATTAGGGCTTGCAGGCTAGCCTGGAAATCTCAGCACATGCCTCTGGACCAGTCAGATTGACCTTAGCCTCAGTTTCCCAGTCTGAAAATCTCCTAGGGCGGGGCAAGTAGTTCATGAATGACTGGGTAAAGTGCTCCCAGGCTCAACACTGGTCTTGAGGCTCCCCCAACCTTGCCGGCGAAGGAACCACCATGCTTGGGGCAGGATGTGGTGGACGAGGCGGGAGGCATCGGACAGATGAGAAGGCGGAGAGAAGAGAGAGAAAACCCCAAAGGTCCGGAAGGCCAAGAGGGAGGCAGGGCACCAAGCTGGAAACCGCGGCTATTTGCAGCATCGCCCTAGGTTTGCGGTTGGACTGGGGCTGGAAGGCCTGGCGACCGGGTTCGCAACCCCGCCCCGGTGTCCTCGGCCACCCGGGCGAGGCCCTGGCCGATGAGTCCCTTTCGCTGCAAGGTTGAGGCCCGAGAAGCTTCTGGGCTGGACCACAAAAGCCACAAGGAGGATAAGGCCACCGGAGGAGAAATGCGTGCGGGCCTGGTAAGTCTCAGAAAAACGCAACGTGGGCGGGGTCCAGCAGTCTGGGATAGGCGGGGCTTCGGCAGGTTATGACTCCCGTGCTACCCATTGAGGTCGGGCACACTCGGACAGGCAACGCCCTCCATTGGCCGAGCTGGGCAGCGCCCAGTTCCGACCGAGCTGAGCAGTGCACCCTATCGGCTGAGGCCGGCAGCAGCCCTCACCGACCGATGCCGGCTGGTTCAGGTCCGGAACAACCGCGTGTGGGCGGCCGGGTCGGGGCGGCGTTCTGGCCGCGGGGCGGGTTGCGGCCTCGGTGAGGCTCGCTGGGCGCCGGGTGGGCGCGAAGGATTGCTAAAGGCTGCGGTTTGGCCAGGATCACGGAGCCGAGAAGAAAAAGATGCAAGCGAGTAGGGATTAAAAAAAAGAAGACGAGGAAGAAAAGGGAAACACTAGATCCCGCGGGCGAGCTGAGGGCAGGAAGCCGACGCTTCCAAGCGCCCACTCGGCCAGAGGAGGGGGGTCGTGGGCCCGTTGCACAGGCCGGCTCCAGGAGGCCAGGCGCATTCGGCTAGAGTGTTCGTTCACCTCCTGGAGCAAGAAACAGGAATGAGGAATGGTGGGGTTGGAGGCTCGGGTGAGAGGTCTCGGCTGCCGAGAAGACGCGCTGTTAGAAAACGGTCTGGGGACGCCACAGGACCCAGTTTCCGTCCTTCCTACGCCCTTCCAGCGCCCCCACGTGGAAGCTTCCGACCGACTCGCCGCCCCTCCTAGACTGCCTGTGCAAGCGTGTCGGGAGCTGTGTACTGGCCTCTGATGACCTGTTCTTTGCATATAGCAACAATGGGTTCCTTCCAATTGGCGGGGAATAAAGTGGCTCAAGTTAGCCCGGAGTCCAGACCTGGGGAACATCAACAAATACAAACCCTGTGCTTGGAGCCCTCGGTTGCAACAGCTTGGACACACCTCTTTCCCTCATCCTATCACCTTACTGCTCCTTTTCATTGATGAGAGATTTACTTGACACAGCAGGGCATCTGCAGAAGAGCAGGCACAGTGGGCAGACCTCTACATCTCTATTCACACTGGGAGGTGGAGCAGAGCCCTTGCCCTTGCGCCAGACTTGAGGTGGACAGATGTTTGCCTACATTTGGAGGATTTAACCCAAATCTCTCATGCTCTTGGCATCTCTAGTCCTGTTAGGCTGTCGGCCTCCGCCTCCCCCATCTTTGGAAGGGTCTAGAAAGTGCCTGATGTGTTGCCAAGTCTACTGCTAGCAGATCAGAATTGTGTTGCTTTGGTTTGGTTTTAGTTCTTTTAACCTTTTGTTTTATATGCAATAGGTGTATGTGCACTAGGTGTATTCTCTGCCCATGGAGGCCAGAAGAGGGCGTTGTGAGCCACAATGTGAATTCCGGAAACGGAGCCAGGATCCTTTGGAAGAACAATCAGTGTGTGCTTCACAACTGAGTCATCTCTTGAGCCCCTAGATCAGAATTTTGAGAAGAATCACGAGGGGGGAGCCCCTGTTCTCCACCACCCTATCACCAGCTCTTCCCTTCCCATCAAAGACACAGGCTCAGGGGTACAGGAGCCTGGGGCCATCCCTTGGCTCTTTTCCTTTCCTCTCACGTCTGGGGGTGGGGTGGGGGGGCCGTCCTGACACAAACCCCTTTAAAGTCAGGCACCGGCAGGAAAAAGGAGCACAGGGTGGGTGTCAACCAAAGAGGCTCAGAGTAGAGTGTTTAGGTTCAAGTTACAGCCTGGGCACTTAACCATGGGTGCTGGCTACTTTAGATAAGCTACCTAACTGTTTTGAACTTCCCTTACTGTAGGAGGGAGGGAGGGAGGGAGAGAGAGAATATGATTATGGGTGCTAAAAAGATAACACGAGAACTTTGTGCAGCATTTGGCATTTGTTTAACTCGCTGTCAGCATATAATAAATGGCAGCAATTACTGCTGTTAATAATATAATTAAACGACAACATCCATCTACATTCCCTGGGAAAGCCCAGATTAAGGAAAATCATCGGGGCATTCCCTGATGTTTCGCCATCCGGTTGCTTCTTAAGGATGGGAACTAGGTGCCTGCCATCAGACTGGGTCTCCCTGTATGAAGTCTCTTCTTTAGACAAAGTTCAGCACTCTAGATCTTAAAGGGTGCACCCAGGGAAGCTGGTGAAGCCTGGTGTCAGGAGTTGTAGGTTCTAGTATTGCCCTTTGCCTCAAGGGGAGTCCAGGAACTTCTCTGAAGTGCTCATCTGCAAGCCTTAAACCCTCTAGTCTGACCCCATTAGTGAGGGGGAGGGAAGCTCTGTTTAAAGTCCTCCCTCTCATCCTGGAGCCTGGTCTGAGTGCTGGAGGAGAATGAACTGCTAATTGAAAATGTTTATAATGCATTGCCCCTGGTCTACCGAACGGAGCCTCCTGTTCCCACTGTCTTCAGAACAGCTTGTTGCTCTTGTCTAAATAGACTCCGGTGTGGAAACAGTGCCGTGGAGTGGGAGCCTGGCTGGCTGGACTCCGTAGGGGCCTGGGGTTATCTTTGCAGGACATACTTTGTCCTGATTCCCCTGACCACTACCTGGATGCCTAAGCCACCACAAATGGGGGTGCGGATAGCTGGAGATGAGGGGCCCCCATGCCCTCCTGGGTCCTTCCTAGATCTGCTCAACCCTTCCATAGTCTGAGGTGAACATGGGACAGATGGGAGAGAATTCCAAACCATGTCTGGCCCTGTTGTGTGAGCACTTAGGACTGGGACAGAGGAAGTTACAGTCTAGATGTTCTGAGTTCCCTGGGCCTACCAGGCCTGGAGCTGGGACCTGGGCTCTGCCATTCCTAGTGGACCTGATCCCTGTTCCTGCAGTTCTGACCCTGCAGGTGCAGACAGCCAAGGTTAGTTCACATCCCATCTCTGCTCAACCGTTTTCTTTACCCGTATGGGGGTTTTATCTATGTATATGTCTGTGCAGTATGTGTATGCCTGGTGTACATGGAGGCCCGAACAGGCATCACATGCCCTGGGACTGGAGTTAAAGAAGGTTGTGAGCCACCATGTGGCTGCTGGGAACCCAACCATTGTCTTTTGGGAGAGCAGCCAGCGCT